TAGATAGACAGGTAGACAGGTAGATAGACAGACAGACAGGTAGACAGACAGACAGACAGGTAAACAGGTAGACAGACAGATAGATAGATAGACAGACAGACAGACAGATAGATAGATGAAGAGATAGACAGACAGGTAGGTAGACAGATAGATAGACAGATACATAGACAGATGAATGGATAGATTGATAGATAGACAGATAGATAGATGAATAGATAGATGGTCAGACAGACAGATAGATAGATAGATAGATGGACAGACAGACAGATAGATAGACAGATACAGTAGATAGATGGACAGATAGATGCAACAATTGAATTGATTAATCATTTTAAGCACAAATCACACCAAAGAATCACACAGTGCACTTTCTGTTTTCATCAACACGACACCTTCTGGCTGATGCTCACACAACAATTAGAATATTCTCACTTGTGCCTTCAGGAAATAATGATGAGGATGTTTCACTATTTTCTGACATTTTATAAACTAAACAAATAAAATCCTGTCATAGAAGATTTTTCATAAGAAAGAAGAGAAACAAGCAGACATTGTTGATTCATATCTTTATTGTCACTTGTCTCAGTCTCTATCGTTGGCTGTGGTTGTCTCCTCCACTTCCTCTGGTTTGTCCTGCAGCAAAAAAAAAAATAGAGAAGTGGAAATGCAAGCATTGACATAAGATGTAATTTTACATATTTCCATGAAGAAAATGTTTAAGTTCATCATACCTACAGAATAAAGTCATTAAGATTCTACTTTTCTTTTTCTCTTTCATTTATAGGATCACATTAGTTATCTGCGACTTTGACACAGCCCGTAAATCAGCTGATGTAATTTCCATTTAACACATTTCTTACAGAAAAAAATCAATCAGTTCATGGTTGGGAGAGCAAAAATGTTTTTCCAACCCGAAGATTTCAAGCTTTTCTCAGTTTTATATCATCATTCACTTTGTATATTGTTCAATACAATGAGAAGACAATCACCATGGACTCATTTCATAAACCAAACAACAAATTGATTCAATAGTCGGCAGGATATTGAAAACAACCGTTGGTAGCAGCTCTGAAATCAAGCTTCATGATATATTCATGAAGGGAAAGACAGACAGGGTTGGACATGGATATAACTTGATACAGTACCTCTGTATATCTTTCAACCCAGCTGATCAGTTGCGTTACTCGACTGTAGACGCCTGGTTTGTTTCTCCGTCCGCAGCCCTCTCCCCAACTCACCACCCCTGCCAGCCTCCACTCCCCACGGGCTGTCTCACAGACCAGGGGTCCTCCACTGTCCCCCTTAAAACACAGACAGACCATTTTAGGGAACCGTTGGAAAATGTACCTTGTGATCTATTTCAAAGTTAAAATATATATATGTGTGTTAATAAATCTGTGTTACTGAGGTGATTTGACAGTGGGTGTTTAACCTGGCAGGAGTCCACCCCTCCGTCCATTGTGCCAGCACAAATCATCCGAGGAGTCAGGAAGACGCCGTAGACGCTCGAGTGGGAGCAGACGGACTGAGCTATCACCTTGACCTGAGCCTGCCTCAGCTCGTCTGAAACAAAGCCTGACAAAAAAGATTTAAAGAGCTGTGACAGTGATGTCAGAGTATGACTCAAAGATGGCAGCTGCAGGTGTAATCGTGTCCTCTCAAAGAAGAAGAAGGAGAAGAAGCTGCTTCCGGGCCTTGTACCTGCAGCGCCAGGGGGCACCTTAGGGTGACAGACTGAAAAGCCTCCTCTCACTTTGTGTCATCGTTTCAAGTTTTAAAATTTGTTTCTCAAATATTTTTCCTCTCAGAAAGTCACATTTATAAGACAGAACTTGGGTTTTAAAACATATCAATTTAAAATTCACCAGTTTGCCTTTACTTCTCCTCACTGATTATCAGTTAGATAAAACTGGTGCTCCTAAAGTTTGCATTTATATGTCCATAGAAGTTGGTGAAGGGGGGATGTGCAGCCTGCAGGAGTTTCCTGTGTTAACATGTCTGTGAAAGAGTCATGGGAAGGTGGTGGAGTCTGACCTGTGTCAACAACACGCAGAACAAACCAACTGGATGATGGCAGACTGACAATTTTATGTTTTTAAAGATAAAGACTTGGCAGTAATCATGTGACCATATGACGCAGGTTTTTAACAGCAGTTGAAAACTTTTACTTTTAAGTACAGAGGTGACACTGAACTCAGAGGATTGGAACAAAGTCGCCGCTGTCAGGTCCAATAGCTGTGATCTGAGTGGGTGCAACACACCTCCTTCATGAACGTATCCCCAGCCTGTGATCCAACAGGCAGCTCCAGGAGGAAAAGACTCACTCGGGTGAGGTAAACACACCGGTCGCATCCCACCTGCAGACAACAATCAAACAATGAAACATTACATTTGAAAGCAGAGCAATAAAGTTATCACACAAGTTCCATATGTGTCAGATATCTAACACATTTCATAATTTACTTTTTTACAGCACATTTTCATTGGTTTTAAAAGACTATACTTTATTAAATGAGATCAAATCATTACATTTGTATCAAGGCAGTTTTTTAATATTTTGTGCTTCAAAAAAAAAAAAAATCAATGATCGCTCTTTGGCACCTTGGTGACGGCAAAATATTAATAGCAGAATCAAACTTGAATCAAAAACAGAAAGTCAAGAAACCATCGATTCATTTTAAATGTCTGTTTTTTTCCAGTGCCTCTGTCTCACCGCTCATGTCCATGTCAGTGATGGTGCGCAGCAGGCCCACGTCGTAGTCATTGTTGTAGGTGTTGAAGTGGGGGTGGTAGAGGACCTGCAGTGCTCGGTAGCGTTGGCCCTGAGAGCCGTGAGCAATGCTCACCGTGTCCACCACCACCTGCCAGTCAGCCACTTCAAGCATGTTGTTCCTGTGGAAACAGCAGCGTCACACAGACGTCCACTTCATGTCGACTGATGTTCTATTTTCTGTGAAATAGAACATCAGTCTGTGCTATAAAAAACAAGCACATCTTTCTTTTCTGTGCTGAGACAAAAAAAAAAACTTTATGTAATAACAACATCTGCCTGAAACTGTTTTTCAACCTTTTTAAATGTTTAAAATGTAATAATTATTAAATGAGAATTGATTCTTCTCAAAGTTGCTCTTCATCAGGCAGAGACGTGTGAAAAAATCAGGGCCTGTGACAAATAATCGATAAATGTATCAACTGCATGATTAAATAAACTGCCTAATGGAGGCAAGTATATCAGCTCATTTATCTTTTCATGGTTTAAATGGATTTGTCTTTGCTTCAGAGCCTCAAAAGATTTAATGAGCTGCTTAATTGTTGAAGTGTCTTTGGAATAATTACCCTAAATCCTGATTAAACGCTCATCAGAGCCTCTGCAGAAGATTTTCATGAGTGATATTCAAGAAACCCTGCTGCTCCAAATCAGAAATGTCCTGACGGGATCAGTGAAATGGCTTCAGCTTGTTTTTGAACCTGCTCTTGACTTTTACCTGATTATAGCAGAAGATGGAATCAACCTGGACTCGCATCTGCATTAGTTTGTTTGCAGGATTATGCAAAAAGACATTACCCAAAGTGATTTCCAACCCAATGCAAAAAACGTACAGGACGGTTTGCCACAAAACTTTGTGGATTGATGGAGTACGTTCAGGGAAGAACCCATCAGGGGAACCCAGGGCAATCCAGGAATGAATTAAAAACCAATTAAAAACCCAGATCTAGTGAAATTAAATGTGGTGTTGGGCCTGAGTGGAGGTATGTGTTCTACTGAGTGCCCTTCTAGTTTGGTCTTGGTTAATGTAACACTGACCTCCTGAGTGTACTGCTGTTAGTATTCTACCTTAACTCCTTACTTTCATCCCCCATGTCCACCTCTTACTCGACAAAGCAGTGAGCCGCAGTGATGACCCAGCGAGAGGAGATGATGGCGCCTCCACAGACGTGCTTCCCCCTCCAGTGCAAGCTGACCTGCCAGCCCCACCTGCCGCTGGCCGCCAGCGTCCCCCCGACAATACGTCGGCCATCATTGGCTACAGCTGTGCAGTCTGGAGGTGAGAGGATGATTAAAAAGACAAGAACTAGAGTGATAAGTGAATTATTGTGGTAATATTCCTGTTCCACGATAAGGTGATTCAACTAATGGCTGGAAATGGACAGTGGATGGATCTGTAATCATTCTATCTGTGATTAGATAATCAGGGAAACATTGATTAATATCACAATCTTCATCAGCCCTGCACGTGATTCTTTTTTTACCTGCTGTGATGTTTTCTGTCTGGTTCACAGGATTCTTGGACAGAAAAGACACCGGAGTTGGGACACTGCAGTTCCCTTTTGCACCACAGGGGATAGAAGCTTCAGCCTCAGAGGGGAACACCAGGAACTTCACTGAAAAGAAGAAACGAGGAATAAAAAAGGGGGAAAGTTAACTTACCTGGATGGTGAAAAACTAAACATTACATTAAGTAAAAATATCAACTTTATAGGAACTCTAATACTTAATGTGACAAACTATGTGTCTTTTTCCTCCCATAGTCTCTCTCTCTCTCTTATTTTAAAATTGAATTGAATTGAATTAATGGAGAGCGGTACAGCTGCTGACCTAATAAAGCAGAGCTGATGATGGGGATGATGATGAGAGGGAAGCTCATGATCAGCAACACGTCACGAGATGAACATGCTTGAGATGCTGCATCTGGAAAAAAGAGAGACACCACAACTGAATAAATTAATCTGCCGGGCAGCTCATCATCTTCCTTGGTTTTTATGCTCAGGATGAATTGAATGAAAGAATCACCAGCTAGTCATGCAGCTAAACATGTAAGAGAATTTCATCTCTATGCAGTTGTGTTGCATTTAGTGATTTAAATATTTTCACACTGTGTAGTAAATCCTTAAAGTTAACAAAAACTTTTTTTAACAAACATCTGGTGCAAACAGCTCCAGATGTTCAGCCTCAACGTGCAAATCAAAAACTTGATCTGGTGAATTTGTTGAAGAACAGTTTTACATTTTTACATCCAGCTGTCAAACGTTCTTTCCTTTTCAGCTTCCGCTCAGATCTACTGCGTTTTTCTTCTTCTCCTGAGGGAAATATCCGGCTCCTCTGCTAAATGTTTTCATTGTATTCACCATCTATAGTCTCTAAGTGCTTCTCTGGAGTTTGGTGCAGTGGTTTTTTCATTTACTGATGAAAACCGACAAACGGACTGAAATAACAACAATCCTGCACAAAGCAAGAGAGAGTTTAAGATTCAGGCGACAGTTCTAACACATTATTGCATACATTTAACATATATATATATATATATATATGTTAAACACATGTAATAAAATATTAAATATGATAGCTTATTCATTTATCATTTTGAACAGTTCATGCTAATAGAAACAAGAACATATATCAGCAAAATGACTTCAAATATTTAGATACACAGAACAAGATTGATTAAAGAAAATATTGAGAAAAAGATGCCAGACCGGTGTGTTGTTTGTAATTTCTTCAAAGAGACGAAGCTGTTCAGATTGGTGTTTATTACTATGGAGGTAAGATGTAAAGATTTTTGAGCTGGCACTATAATGGTAATTTAGAGTCTGTTTTGAGTTGATATGAATTAATAATTTCATTTACAAAGATGTAATATTATTTAATTTAATATTTATGTCTTTGTGTGCAAAATATGTCCATCTAACCAGCAGACAAACACTTCACAGTCCAATTCCAAAGTTGCAGAACTGCACATTAACCTCAGTAGTTCTGTGAAAAGCCTCAGGGCTGCAGTAAATGTTAAGGTGAGTGAAATGTGAACTCTGGGAGGTAATTTCTGCTTCTTAATGGAACTTCCTCTAGTCGAACCTTTATTACTTTCTTGCTACATCCTGTGACAGGCTAGTCTACCATAACAATTTATACCAAACTAAAAAATGCATGAAAAAAACATGTGTACCGCTTTGGCACAGAGCCAAAGAGACAAACAACCATTATTTCACATATATGGTCAATTTCCATTGGGGAACCGGGTGCTGCCCTAAATTCTGTTTCGTTAATTGAAAGTGAGCATTGGCTGACGCTGAGATGAATGATGGCTAAAACAGAAGAGAGGCTGTTCCAAATAATAAAGAGATAAAAGATCTGATAAGGGAAGAAAAAAGACGTTAAGAGCCAATCAACACGCTGCACAATACTTCAGTTTACTGAATGGAGTGGGCGACAGATTGTGCCAATTTCCATTTTGACAGTAAAATGGCAGGGAAATATTCTCAGACCTGCTAAAAGCTGAGCTCTCTGGTTCTGAGGTAGATCATTGTCTGAATGGTCACATTGTATCGGCAAAAAACATCATTTCCATGACAAATGACCCTCCTGGGGCGGAGAGGGGACCTCTGGGAAATGACCAAACCGTTTGGGTAATCCACTTTTTTCCAGTCACTTAATTGTGATGCAGTTGAATCGATGGCCATTGTGAGAATTCTCAGCTTTTAAAAAGATATCAGGACCAATGTGTATGAAAAGGTCACTTCGAGGTCGAACAGCGGTAAAAGAGATCGAACGCCAGCATAGTCCGACATTTCAGAGGCTTTAAAACAACTGCATCATACATTCTGTTTTTGGAGAAACTTTGACAGTTGTATCTATTTCTTCAGAGAGCTGATAAGAAACCATGTTATCAGGACGTTATGACGGAAAGAGGGAGCTGCTGCAGGAGCTTACAGTGTGGATGGCTTATGTCGAGGCAATAGATCAGGGCTGCTTTGTGAGGAGAGGCTGAAAAGGAGCGGGCGTGAAGAAGTAATAGAAACTTCCAAGAGTTCAGGAACAGTGAGGAAGTGTGAGTGATTTATCTTTAATAGAAAAAGCCTTTGTGGGAAATGAAGCCGGACTGTGGGGTGCTGTATCAACAGTATCTGGAGAGGAGACGGAGCAGAGGTGTCTTTAATGCCTTTGAAGAACTGCTGAGGCAGAAAATCACAATATCAGGAGGTGGTGAAATCTCAGGGACGAATCTTTGCTGTTTATAAAAGCGACTGTAGAGAATAAAAGCTCTGTGTGCCATCACTTTAACAGACAGGAACAGCCCAGGGGAACAGGGTGTACCGGCCTGAGTGTGCAGAAGAAGAGCCTGTGTGTGCGTCACATCTTCGACTTTTTATGATTTGAGAAAACTTTGTACACGCAGGCTGTGGGCTGTGAGTCGCTTGGCTGCTCTCACTCAATTTTGCAAAAGTAAACAATCTAATTAACTGCCAGTCAGAGATGTTACGGAAGTGTATTGCATTCACTCGAGAACAAAAAATATAAAATCCCAATAGAAGCTTTCATTTAGCCTCAGAGTATTTAGGCGAACACGTCCTGCCTGTTGTTAAATATGAGTTTGAAGCATTTGGAGACTTTTTATATTTAAGCAATATAAATCATTAATTTGTCAGCTTTGTACATCACAGGAAGGACTTTGGGATTGTTCACGTGGAGAGTAAGGATTTTGAGCTCTGTCGTTAACTCAGGAAAGCAGAGAAGAAGTGAATGCAATACGTTTCTGTAAGATGTAGCCACCGGTGAATGGTTTCTGATTCAAAAAGGAACATGGAGAAGGAAAGCAGCAGTAATCAAAGTGCCTCTCTGACCTGGTGTCAAGTCTAAAAAGGAAAATCATTTATCTGAACTGAACTGGGCTGTTGGATGTTTCACTGACTTCACATAAAGCTTTGTTTCTTTATTTAAGGAAATAAACATTATGGAATAAAATATTTTTCAGACTAGCTCTTTTAAACCTCCAGAAACAAACATCTGCACATAGTTTTATATGTTTTAAATTTTATATGAGAGAAACCTCCCTTAAAAAAATGTGTAAATAAAAATCTATATAAAAAGTAATGACCTGTGGAGGGTTAACCTTTGGACCAGGCTAACAGTTTCCCCCTGTTTCTAGTCTTTAAGCTAAGCTAACAAGCTACTGGCTCCTGCTTCATATTTAACAGTCTTTTAATCAGCAAAAAATTTAAATAGGAGTAAATCCCAAAAAAATGATTATTGTCCACAGTTACTATACAGAATTACATGTGTTCGTAGCATCAATGCTACACTCGTTTTAAATTTAAATTAAATTAATCATCAACCGTCTTAATGAGAGAACCTCGCACCATGTTTTGTGTTATCAACACATATATTGTGTTGTCCCTCCAGACCTGCCAGCAACACATCTGGCTGTGGCTCGATCCACATATCCTCATGGAATATTTCTCTGATCAAATAAAAAAAAAGATTAAAAAACGTTGTGAGCTTCCTGTCATGTGGATGTTTTTGCCTTCAGATTGAATCTGGCTGATGTTTATGTGCCCAGAAAAGCAAATGATTATTGTGCATGAAGAAGAAGAAATATTACAAGCTCGAAAATCCCTCAGGGGTGTCTTTGGCCATTAACTGTGTTTTAATTACATTTGAGTTTGTTGTAAAATAAAATCCAAGTCAGACCTGACTTTTTTTAGGCCTCATCAAAAATCCTCTTTGAACCATCAACCGTATATACGACCGTACCTGGCTCTTCCTCAGGGAGATCTTTGGGTAACATGAGACCGACTGATCCCTCCTCCAGTGGTCCCCCATCTGACGGCTTCCTCAGCGGAGCTTCCAGGGGACTGTCACTACAAGGGACGGGTGACGTCAGGGTCTTGAGATCTTGAGACTCTGAGAAACCAGAGGATGAAGATTCTGCAGGTTGAGAAAAGGATGGAAACTCTGGATTACAGTTTCCATTAGTTGTGGGATTGCAGTGGGGCATGAGTGTGAGGACTGTAGAGGGGACCAGGGATGAAATGCTCAATACTTCATGACTGGTTGGACTTTGAAAGGATGTTGATGACCAGTGCTCCGGGGACAGAAAGATTGAGGGAACGACAGGCTGATGTGCAACAGGAGTGCTGGGGCTACCGGTGTGGACGTGTAAATCCATGCTTGTAAAGTCGCTGGTGGAAGTCATGAAGTGCAGAGTAATGTGTTTACAGTTGGCATTGACTGCACACGTTTTTGTCAGGGTACGATCAGCTGAGTTTCTGAGGAGTGGAAGATATCTGAATCCTGCAGAGGAACAAGGAACAAAGGCCACAAGCAAACATGAGCTCAGAAATATCAGTGAATTACTTATAATTCTCGCATAAGATACGACAAATCAAATATGTCCTTCATAACTGTATAATATCATAGATTTACCAGACCTTCACATCTTTTTAAATCATTGATTAAAACACATTTTCATAGGAAAGCAATTTAATACCTGATTTTCATTTGGTTTTGACGGCTATTGTTTAGTTTTATTATTTTTCTTTTATCTTGACATATTCTTCGTCTTTTTCTGTGTTGTTCTATGTCAATGTATTTTGTATAGCACTTTGTAAACTTACATCCATATATGAGCTTATACTATTATATATATATCTATATATCTATGTATAGATATATATATATCAGTAAATGCAGAATAAGGCCACAGAACCAATTCAAAATTAGTTTTACCCTCCAATGATGAATAATTCATATTCATCTGTGATTGAATATACGTTGTTTGCAGAATATATCACCCTCACATCTGTGTATTTTTCCCAACTGAATATTTCCTCACCTGAGTGTCAGTCGTACAGGTTCCTGTGTGTCGACCTCATCTGCATTAAAGTGATTATTCATCCGAGTCCGTCTCCTCCACTTATTAAACCAGCTCGTACCACAGCAGGGACGAGAAATGCATCACTGCCGCTCCGTCAGTGACAAGATTCAGAAGATGCTCGCTCTGGTGCATCTGTAACCCAGATGTATCTGCTATGTTAATGTGAATCCATCCAGCACGGGTTTCTTCTTCTCTTATCTCCTCAGTCTCCACCTAATCCTCTCATCGTGTCTCACCCTTCAGCTTCGCTCTCCTTCTCCTTCCAGTCCCACTTCTTTCCCCCCCAACCACTCAAACTCAATTCCTCCTCTGGTCAGAGCAGTTGAGGCTCCAGTCAGTCAGGTCAGTAACGGATACGTGCACTCTTGTCATCGGGCGTCTATGAAATATGCATGGGGATAATTGTGAGCGTGGGTCAGAGTTTAACAACAAAGGGTAATATACACCACACCATTGAGTTGCCTCCACTCACAAGTACTGAGGAGCATAATGGCAGCATGGAGAGTCACACATCCAGAGGGTCACTGTGTTAACTCCACATAGTTATGAGAGGTGTATCCAACAATTAATCTCTTGTTATGAATCTGAAAAGGCCTGATTGTATGTGTGAGTCTGTGTGAGTGTGTGTTTGTGCGTCCAGGCTTCTCAGAGGTGGTGTGTGTGTGTGTGTGTGTGTGTGTGTCCGATCATGTTACTGCTCAGTGCAAAGTGCTGGCTGTGACAGGGATCCCCAGTCTGGGTGTTACTCAGCATCATCTAGGTTACACTGCAGAAAAATCCAGATCAAAGTTGTGTCACAGTTTTCGCTCCTGTGCTGCTGTCGTTCTGCTTTGATTATTTATTGTGTTATTATTGTTTGTGTACTTCAGAGCCACCTTGGATAAACAATTTATTTATAGATAGACTACAGCAACACACTTTCCTGTGCTGATGTTTTAGAAAGTTCTGAGCATTGCTCGCTTGTTGTTCATAACTCAGGGTTTACATTGCTGCAGATCAAGGGTATATGCATCGGCTGCAGACATGTGTGGTGCTCTGTCTACAGGAGACAAGCAGAGCGCTGCAAGTGCAAAACAAACAAGACACAGACTTCATATAAATGAACTTGTTTTGCAAAAATACGTCAAGACAGATAGTTGGTGAAATGTCATAAAATAAAGTAAACATGAATGGACAGACTAAGACGGACATCCACGCAGCGACATCACTAGTGTAGATATATTTGTTCTTCGTATACTTGTTCGGTGAAATGTCTTCATTATAGACTTGCTAAATATGTAATTGTATTTTGGAAAAATACTTTTCAATAAGTTTTATTTTTTTAATCTTCTTCTCTCCCCTGAGTGTTGCTGCTTGTTGTTTATGTCTAGAAGTAGCTCCTCCACCTGTTCATCAGACTGACTGACTGAATGAATAACAAATCGACCACAGAGGCTTTGATTGTGCTTGTATTGATTTTACAGAATCCTTGTTAAATCCTATCGATCTGACTGGCGACTTGTACCAATCTCGACTCATCAGTTCCGTCAGCTTCCCCCTCCTCGGCGAATGAGGAACGGGAAGGAAAAGAGGAGCTGTGTGGATCAGGCTTCTCCACAGCCGCCCTCAGGTGCAGCAGCATGTGCAACTCAATAATATTTGTGTTATTCTGTGCAGAGAGGCACATCAGTGGGGTTTACTGAGAGGACAGCCGAGTTACTGCCAGAACGAAGCTGCACATCCTTTCTCTAAACTCTCTGGCACTTTGTTTCTTGAATCTCCCACTTAAAAGGTGAAGTTTAGCCCAGGTAGTAAATTCAGTAGGTTTTTCTCTCAACTTCTGACGCCAGGTTCTTAAAAAAATCTCCACATTCAAATTCCTGCAATAAAGTCAAACACTTTTTTATTCTCATTAAAAAGGGCGTTTAAATCAGCTGCATGTACTATATTATACATAGTTCACACATACCTATTCAGTTTTTTATATATATAAATATTGTTGTAAAATTATTTTATACATAAAAAAATAAAAATGAACTTAACATATTTTATTATATTTTTCTACTCTAACAAAACAATTGCCGCAGACTTCATTCTTTGTCTGTAGAAGTTCAAATAATAGTGAGTAATTGTATTCGAATGAATTATTTCAACAATGTAAGAAATTATTCTTATTGTTCATATTACTGCTGAGGATTTGCTCGGGAGGGTTTTATTGAAACCAGAGTCAGTTCACAGTTAATTTAGCTTCCAAGATTTAATACTTTATTGCCACAACTCAGTCGTTTGGAATTTGCCTCAGTGTGCCCACAGTGACACAACAATCACAGCATAACACATAACAGGACACAACACATAACCTCCTCCCCATGTTCCACATTCATGTTAAGACCATAATAAGCGTTTTATTTTGAAAAATGGAACCTTCAGCCTTTGAAATTCGAGTCAGAGAAGTTCAGGATTTCAGACAAGGAAAAATATCTCACATGACCACAGCTCCCAGTTACATGTTAATTACATGTGTAAATTAAACCAATTCTCTTCAAATGTTGGTAGCGGTTGTATTTTTAGGAAAGACTTCTACTACTGAGGACAAAATACACTTTCAGGGGCTTAGATAACCGGGACATTTTTAAGTATTAAATCCTGCATCTTTTGGGAGGAGCAGGTAAACACACTCACACATGTGCACGCACCACCAATCTCAGGATTAAAAAACAGGGAAAAGCCCATAGGAATATTAAAACAGCATATTAATGGGAAAGATGGAGGTTTGAAAAATAAAAATCAAGATCTGAAATCCCAACGTGGAGTCCTGTCTGAATACACAAATTCAAATGTGTGAAATACCGTCACTTCACTTAAACAACCTTTCCAGTAAAATTCACTTTATCAATCTATACATAAAGAAGTTGTCAATTTCTTTGTTCATTTGTCACCAGATACATTTATTTAATCTATTCTAATTCATTTTATTTTATTTCACGTTAATGTATGACTGCATACGCAAGGTAAGCACCAAAATAAAATGTTTTATTACCTATGGTCTGTACAACGGCTGTGATCCCTGTTCTAACCAGTCAAAGTATTGTTTACGACACCGAATGTTACATGTATGCAAACTCACTTGAAGCGAAAAAGTCCACAATGAAATCTGCGACTTCAGTTTCGTGTTGTACTCTCGAAGTCAAAGTTTTTTGTTCCAGTCCTTTGAGAGAGAGGCGAGCACATGCAAACAAATAACAAGATGCTGTTTGTCAAGATTACAAGAAAATACAACAGCGAGAGTCTGACACCAGTCGAGCCGTCCAGCCAATTGGGAAAACGGTCACGTCTCAGCAAAGTCTGACGTATGTGCAGTCGTGCAGCCGCGATGAATGTGGCAACATCCTCAGTCCTCACGTATTCCCTGTACAGAGTGAATGTACACAGCACAGTGTGTTTCTTCTTTTCCATAAATATCTCCAGCTTGTTTGTGTTTCTTGTCTTTTACTTGTCACACACATAATTTTTTCGTCTAGTAGTTTGTTTCTTCCCGATCTGCTGGTTCTCTTGTCTTTAATTTCCCAGAAAGTTAATATCACCTGTTTCTTCCTCTTCCCATGATCCTTCCTTTCCCCTCCACTTACTCTCATCTCAGATCTTAAAGGCCTTTTTCCTTTCATCTTGGTGGTTGACACTTTTCATCTCGGCGGCTCTCAGCAGTGCAGGATCTTGATGAAGGCTTTGCGGAACTCGATGTTGAAAGTGGTGTAGATGATGGGGTTGACGGCGCTGTTGAGGTATCCCAGCCAGGTGACAGCGCTGTAGAGCGAGGGCGAGATGCAGCAGCTCGTGCAGTGGGCCTTCAGCACGTGGGTCAGGAAGAAAGGCAGCCAGCAGATGATGAACACGCCTTGGAAACAGGACAGGAAGTATATTCGAGGGAACACGTGCGTGTGTGTGGGTGAGATTTTAGCCTCACGTGTGTGTGGCACAAAGTACACAAGGATATAATTACTGAAATATCATGACATCTGTAATTAGTGGCTGAAAAGATGGAGATGGATGGATGGATGGATGGTGCAGGGAGAATGTGTACAGGGATCAGAGATGAACACCTCCTCAGTTATTCTAGACTTCCTTCCACTCACCGAGAACAATAGCGAGCATCTGTGTTGCCTTCCTCTCCTTCTGCTGAGACAGCCTCCCTCTCACCCTCTCCTTGGTGATGCCCCATTTATCTCTGCCTCCGCTGCGCTCCCTCCATCCCTCACGCCCCCTCATGCCATCCTCCAGAGTTGGGGGACGAGGCGTCAGGCCTGATCGCGTCACGGTTGAAGGGAGAACCGGGGCAGGTCCGACAGAGATGGACAGGGAGATCGTTGCCCGTCCCGAGTGGGGGGTGGTCTGGGGTGCAGGGGAAGGAGCCAGACTCTGACCCATCTGCGGCAGAAACCGACCTGGCTCCACTTCCAGGGGGTGAACCACGGCCTCCTTCACCAGGGTCTGACGAACAGAGAGGGAGGAAGGAGGGATGAACGACAGTGTGGCGGCCTGATTGGTTAATAAGGAAGCAAGCAGAGCATCACGTGTCCTGATTTGGTTAAAACACTTTATTTTACCACTTTCTTGCGCTGAGGGGCGGCTGTGGTGGGCCTCAGGATCAAGGTGCATAACTTCACATCCTCTGGTTGTGTGCATTTATTCTGAAAGGGAAGGAGAGAAGAGAGAAGATAGAAGATTAGATGTTTATGCCGAGATCCATATTCGAGTCAATAAGATTTTTCATCACAACACCTACATTTCAGATTTGGAAAAAGCAAGACTATTTGAATTCATCCAATATTTTTGACACAATCAGTGTTGATGCAGACCAGTGGGTCAACATCGATCAATGTCAAAATACCTGCTGCAAGAAAAAGGGAGAACACATTCAATGACATCCAGTTACAGATTTTACCTTTCTATGTCGATGACCCTGTCCGGCTTCTGCCCCGCGTTGTGTGTGCAGACCATGTCTGCGCGACGGCGCCGTGCGTCTGCCTCGCTTGCGCAGCACCACGCAGATCTGCGCATACACCAGCAAGGTTACGATGAAGGGAACGTAGAACGAGGCCACAGAGGAGTACACCACGAAGGCCGGGTCGGCAAAACTGCAGGTGGTGCCTTCTGGGCTGGCTAATGGAGAAATGAAAATAATTCATAATGTGTGGGAGAAAAAGTTAGAAACTCATTTTAAAGTCCTTCTTTAAAGAAACATCAATATCTTCCCAAGATGCATTGGGTGGCTGCTATATCACATGATATTCAGCAGCAGTGAATGTTTTCCTGTTATTGAACTGAAGAAGTTCAAATATCCACCTCCAGGATGTTCTATCCATAATTAACCCTTTGGGGAGATTGGTTTGTTTCCAAAGTCAAGACGGAAATTTGAACCTCAGCTTTAGACATTGATGATAAATTCTTGCATCATTGAAAAAACCTACAGAACAGCCACTGCACGGAGCCTGTGTGGTTTCATCAATAACTGTTCCTCTCCAGAAATATTCAGTTTAGGTTAGTTGTTATATTTTTGTAATGAGATGTGTAGGTTATAAATCATTGCTGTGTGCAGATACATGGACAGATTTTCATCAAACTTGTTGAGAATGTTACTCGGGAGAGTATCTCCAGATGATTAACTTTTGGTCAGGGGTCAGGCGGAGGGGGACGACATCCTCCTGCAGTGGAGAACTGTATGGTTGATGCCTGAATGTGCACAGCAAAAGCAGCGTACCGAGTTCATGCTGAATACTGCCTGCCTGCTGAAGACGGTAACATCTTTATGGATGTTTTAGTGGCCACTGACACAGGTAAGATTTCTCCCGAGACTGCTGATGGTCAGTCTGACTGAGAAAGATAATGACTCTGCGTCTGTTATAAATTGGGGATCCCACATTTTAGTTACATTAACTCCATCACTCTCTCCTAGGGTGTGGGGAGTGGCTGAGAAGGGGTGGCAGAACTGACAGGTTTATCAAGGGGGGGGATGTTTTGGTCATTTTGATTTAAAGGGGATGGCATCTCCACTTATTCATCTATAAATCCCCTACTGGTTATAACTATCAACATATTACTGCGGAGAGTCAAATATTTCCCCCAGTTTGATCAAAGACTGTTCAGTATCTTGCTGCGTTCAAAACCCACGACTGAGGCTGCAGAACTCTCCCTCTGCTTCTCGTCTTTGACTCACCTTCAAGTGTTTTCCTTGGTGTTCAATGCATGCACACTCGCAGCTTAAGTCCCTCCTCACAGCTGCCTACATCAAGGCAGACGTGAGCCGCCGAGTGTCTTCACACAGGAATAAAATATTATGTGTGCTCACTTTTTAAGTATTAGCGTGTTGATTTAAGTTTAGTTGAATGATTACACCAACAGTTTTTTGTTTTCTATCTAAATTCAGGCACAGATGGTCCAGAATGCTGCAAAGGCTTTCTTTGCATGAGAAAACACATGATGCTCCAAAAGTGAGTCTTTAACTTTTTTCAATGACACCAAAGTTGAGAGACAAAGTTTAAAACCTATTTGTAGCTGAGATTAAAGAAACCACGGAGGACACAAATTTTCATCAAATTCATTACAAGAAACCTTTTTTTGTCAGCATAACCTCGATTTGTGAATAAAAGGGCCAGATGTTGGAGCTGCAACAAAACTCTCCGATGAAAGTGAAATACAGGTTCTTTAATTAATTCCTCAAAAAAAGAAATCATATTTTCTCTCTTGAGAAACGTCTTCTCGTGTAGGTCTGGGTAGCAGTTATACACACTGGACAAGTCCCCAGCTGATAACAGGGCTGACATATAGAGACAAACAACCATTCACACCCACAGGCGACGTCCATCCATTCACCCATTGTCTTAACCGCAGATCCTTGAGGGTCCTGGGGGGCTGGAGCCAATCAAATCTGGCAGGGGGCAGGGGTGGGGTTCACCCTGGCCACTTGATTAACTCATTATTCAATGTCCAACTAGTCACTGCAGCGTCAAAGCTCTAAGCTTCAATTAGCACCTATTAGGGTTGAATTTAACTCACATGTTCTGGACCGAACAGATCAACAACTAAGTGGGAACATGAGAGATAAGATGCAGCTGTTACCAGTGTTGTTGAGTCCGAACAGTAAAGGGCAGGAAATGGCAAACGAGAGGAACCACACCACAGAGATCATCACCGCCACCCTTCGTCTGGAGCTGTATCTGGTGTTGTAGAGCAGTGGCATGGCCACCGCTGTGTACCTGCAGCCACAAGGAAAGATGACACACACAGACAACACATCAGTATTCCTCTCACACACTCTCTGTGCCTGCATTTGAACACAAACTTGGAGTATATATAGATATGGAGTATAGACACACACCTTCAGACTTCATATCTCACTGTCATGTTGGGGCAAATTTTAAAGAAACCTCTCCAACACTTGACTCAGCGCTCAGACAAACAGATTCCCAGTTCACGTTCAAACAGACTAAAGCTGTCACTCCCTGTTTCACAGCCGCAAGGACACAGAACATATAACTGTCAGCGAGTCACAACCAATTAGAGCCTGTCTGTGTGAGCAGTCTTCTTCAGGGACACGCTGTATACCGACTGCAGGGGTCACCAACAAAACACAGTTACGCAAACAATAGCTTCTAACATCAGAACCTGCAACACACAGTCTAGAGATGGTTTAATTGCAGTAATTTCTTAGAATTCTGACAAGAAAGCTTCTCAGGGACTGAACAGGGCAATGAAATTGCTCACAAACCTTTTCTGGTATAAAATAAAGGTATAATTTTATCACTCCAAGTGGGAAAAAAAGGACAATATTTCAGCATTTTACTTAAAGTTAGTTCGAACACTGATAATGATGTTTGCTTTTCCTTGACATACATAAACCAAAAGAGCAAAGGGCATGCTAGCAGCTCTAGGAGGGAATATTAACACATTGAAGTTGTAACCTTGAAGTCACAGCTTCATTTTCTGCCCTTAGTTATTGCACCAAAGTGGTGCAGCCTCAATGTGTCACATTGTCAGAGGAATTAGGACGACGCGGCCGCAGATGGCCTGTCCTCTGGGCATCTGTTGACATCCCCTTGGAACGGTGAAGAGGGCGTCAGGGCGAACGCCAAATCATCAAACACATTCTCCTTCATCTATGTACGAACTGAGCGAACACTAACGACTGTGAAGGACATCGTAAGCGGCACGGTGGAAACCTGCCGTTACCTGCTGGCTTCTGTCCTGCGGCTCCGTGACAGAGTGATGATGGATGCAGCTTGGAGGTTTTTGGTGGATGTCTGTGTACGCGCCCATGTGTGTGACACGTGTGGCATTGCCATAAAAGTGATTTATTACCTCCGTCAAGGAGTTTTTGTTTTAGTCTGCATCTGTTTGTTTGTGTGTTCGCAGGATTAAGCAAAAACTACTCAAACGAATTCCCTGTTTATGCACAAGGAAGAATCCATCATATTTACGTGCAGATGCAGGATTTTTTTTCATTTTCATTAACATTGAGAGATGGAATCTTTTGGATCTAGAAGAAGAAAACCAGGCATGTTTATGATTTAATTAATGAATGAATATCACACATGGACAGAAGTGAATCACACCCAGCAAAGGCTCCACATTAAGAGCGAAGAGTAAAGAGGAACCCACCTGTCGATGCTGATGGCACAGAGGTTGAGGATACTGGCCGTGCACATCATGACGTCCAGGGTGAGCAGGATGTCACAGTGGATGCGGCTGAAGTGCCACTCTCCCACCACCTTTAATAAAACACAGTTTCTCTTTCAACCGGTTTGACTTTAATTTCTTCACTCATTTTGCACCTTTCATCCAATATGATATGTTCTAACACTGAAGAGGCAGCGTGAATATTAACTAGACTGGATCAGGCTTTGGTATAAACCTATTTCCCTTGATAGAGCCTGTTTAATTTGTATATCTATCTCTCTATTGGCCAGTGATGCCACAACAAATTTAAATTTAATTTCAAATCAAATGAAAATATGGGTTTGTTCTTACACTATAATGTACTGAAGTACTAATTAAACCCAGTTGTTATTGATTAATCAAATAATGCAAACGAATCATTATCCAACAAAATGTTTTCTTGTGCAAAAATGCCAAACATCTGCTGAAATTAGCAGTTTTTTGTCTTATGAGACACATTGTGAATATTATATACGCACGCACGCACACACACCTCCAGGTAGACACCCCACGGCATGACCAGCGTGGCCAGCAGCAGGTCGGACACAGCCAGTGAGACGATGAGATAGTTGGTGGTGGTCTGCAGAGCTCGCTCCCGAGAGACCGCCACACACACCAGCACGTTGCCGAACACCACGCAGAAGATGAGCAGCACCAGCAGCACCGCGTAGAAGTTGTACGGGGGAGAGGAGGCCGACTGGGGGCTGGTGCAGTTGGAGGAGGTCAGCTCGGAGGAGGTGGGGAAGGCCTGGGGGGAGTTCGAGGGGTCGTGGGTGACAAAGATGGAAAAATTGTGCTCCGAGGATGAGGGAGAGAAGGAGGGAGGGGAGGTCTCTTCTGACTCATTGTGGAAAGTCATGGTCTCGCTCTGGTGGACATGATCAGGGGGGAAGAAGAGGAAGATAACGACCTTGGGACCTTTCACTGCCCACTGTGCACTTAGTCTCACAATACATCCAACAAAGATGGAAGAGCCTGACAACAGAGGAAAAGAAAAGGAAAAGAGGTTATTGTGGTGCCGCGGCTGGAAATCTGTCTTTGAGAGACTATTACGCAGGACGCCATGACACAATGATACCAACAATACAATCCATTAACCCACAGGTACGCTGTCGATGTCACTCGCTCGTTTCTAAACCATTAACAGAAAAGAGATAAAAGTTCTCGTAGAACTCAACGATTCTGTTTGTCGTCTGGTTCTCGAAGGTCGACTGAACAACTGAGTTATGGAAGAATAAACTTCTGTCAGTGTTTTCACTCATAATCTGAATCGTACTCACTCTCCATCACTGTGGCGACAGAATGCGACTGTTGGGCCTTGTTGGAGATACGAGCTCGACTCATTTTAACAAGGTCACTGAAAGTTTGAATGGAAAAATCTGATTTTAGATATTAGATATTATTCACAGCAGAATCGTTTAAAAAGTTTTGTGACATGTTTGGATGAAATTTGTTCATTGTTTACATCCATAATTACTTGTTCACAGTTTTAAGTCTGGTTTTATTGACGCCTCAAAGAGCTTTACACAACATTCATTCATTCATTCAGGGGTTATTTGAGGTTCAGTGTCTTGACTGAAGACACTTCCACGTGTGGACCGCAGGGGGCGACCTTCTGGGTTAGTGAACGACACGCTCTACCTCCTGAACCACGGCTGCCTTTTGCAACGTTTGCAAATACTCATTGAAAAACTTCATAATCTAAACTTTAACCTTTCTAATTCAATTCTTCTCTGTTTATTTGGAGCGAAGTAGAAAAAGTTATAACAAGTTATAACAAGTTCCCTGAATCCCTGGAAAACCAAAACAGTTACAGATTATGATTGATTTATTTGTCCCAGGACATGTCTGGATTATAATATATTAATATTTTAACTTGTCAACTGTTTCCTTTCACGTTTGTTTGTAAAAAAAAAGTCTTGTTTTCTACCTTTGTTCGCATGTTGCCACGTTTTTTGACTCGTTACCATCAGAGAAAGCTGATCAGCAGAGTGAAGCCAACAGAGTGGATTTATAAAACATCACTCGAAAAACAACACTCCGTAGAGACACGTGGTTAAATATTCCAAATGTTACTTTAACCTTGTTTTTCTTTTCGTCTATTCGCTTTGATCTTCATGTATTTCTTATTCACTGCCGTCTGAAGATCCCAAAGGAACATTAAAGCTCGACTCTGTTTTAACCTGCAGCTCACTTGAAGCCATATCTGGTGAGTAACTGGTTTAATTCAGTTTAAAGGTACAAGTGCAGCTGTGTATATGAACTGTTGTCAGACTTGACAGGGTTATACAGAAGTGAGAGAGACGGAGAGTCTCGATGTGAATGTGTGAGTGAAGCATCATCAAAGTTTCCTTTAGAGTTTATTTTTAAAACTGTCGACATAGTTTTGCCGTTAAAAAGTCAAAAGCTAAAACCATTGAATCAAAACACTTTAACTATGGTTAGACTCTGTTCAGACATCAGTCCTGAGTGATCGTACACAGACTGGAACGTCTCCAGTTCGAGCCGAGGGGGCCAAGGTCCCGTCGATACACTCGTTCGACCAATCACGAGTCAGTCGCAGCTGTCAATCATGTCGATGTTTCACCCCGTTAAATAAAATTTTCCGTCATTTTAGGTAGTTCTTATCACACTAAAGTGTTAGTTTTTTTCTTGAATAGTGTGAGGAAGTGAAGACACATCATCCATCTTTACGTACAGTTCATACTTTACAATGTGCTTTGGCAAACAGACGATCCTCTCCGACTGTGGTTCCGGGGTTGTGATTGGATAATTGCCCGTTTGAGGGTGTGACTCTGGAAAACAGAGATAAATGAGCTCTCTGAAAGGTGGGCGGTGACGTGATCCAACACCGGTCACTACGGTAAACAAACCGGGAGTATCGAGGTTGGCCAAAATGAAGGCGGACACGTCCACATGTCTGTGATAAGTCGATAACTGGCTGTAGAATTGTCCGTCTTTGCGACGCACCATTCGCAGGTTGAGATTTTCACAGTTAGTCGGAGTCGATAAAGAGGAAAAAAGAGACTGGATGAAAAAGCTTAATGTAAGAATCCATCATTTCTAATCCATCTTCATTTCAAACTTCTGCTTCAAACTCACCATGAAATCATGGCTGATGATCGTCTGTTGGTTTCTGCAGAGCGGAGACATGATGCGAATACCTGAGATCTTTACTTCCTCTTTCTCATCTGTCGATCCGTCTGACACGCTCTAACAAGCAGGCTGTATAATAGCACACGAAAAAAAACTGCATTAAATATTTATCAGCTCAGCTAGAGGCTGTGACAGACTTGACTGGCAGATCCTGTCAGTGCCAAGGTCCTGGATGATTTCAGGGAGAGCCCAGCACATCCCACCTGCACCACACACCACCATGTGTCTCCTGGCAGTCCAACGTCAGCTATCGTTCTCTGACCCCGACCTACGAGCCGAGCTGCAAAACAACATGTTTCCCAGATGAGTCGGGCCCTGACGAATCAATAACCCATCCCATCGCCTGTTAATCCAACACCACAGGCCACAGCACCTTGATTGAAGATATTATCCTTTGTAGCACAAACATTGATTCCACCCAGTTAGATATTGATTCGACTCAGCAGATGACTTGAAGCGGAGTAGTATGAAAATGTCGTTATTGTGGTTGAGGGAGTGAAGGGCCAGCGTTAAACTGGAGAAGCTCATTTCAAGCCTTTTACTCCCTTTTTTTAAATCCAAGTGTGTGGTTTTCTTATTTTGAGAGAAGGATTCATGGATTTCACCTTCAGATTTTCTAACGCTTTCCCTCAAATCCCTGCTTGTGCTTCGATTTTGCTCAAACTACGCACGTGCACACTGATGTTTTGACAACACAATGGAGTTGGTGCAGGTTATGAAATCAGTGAGTAACACAAGTAACATCAACTACTGCAGCAACCAGGGTTGTTGCAACAGGGTGGGCAAAGCAAGATATCTCCTGGGGACCCGAGCTTTGAAATGTTATTATTTCTTGTTTGAAAACTAGAATGTTAAAACGTGTGACGCAGCCTAAAGTCAGAATGAAACTGTCTCACTGACACGTTGATGATCTATAAACAAAAATAAGAAGTGTTACTGATGCATTGCAGCTTTTCTGCACAGAAATTATTTTTGAACTGACAGCTTTACAAAAAGCAATCTATACAGATTTACAAAACAACAAACGATTCTTCTCATTTCATCTTTCATCAGTAAAACTCACTGCAGTCGCGCCGACCACGCTAAGAAAGAGCTATTGTTTGTCAAATCCATCAAATGTCTGCAGCGCGTCCTCTGAAACACTAACTTCTGTTGAAGGAGAAATGAACAGACTGCAAAACCACAGAGGAGCAAAGTCAGTCACTGGTTAAAATCAACAGTTTCAGTCCTGGATCATTGACGACGCACTTTCACCTTCAACTGTGACCGATTGAAATCCCATTTCATCCCCACCGAGCCCACCGCCTATCGTCTGATGATGAATTAACCTCTGGGGGCAAAGACCAATATTCCAGTGCGGACAACTGATGTCAGACCAAGACTAAACAAATGTTTCCAGAAGTTATCACATAAGTCGAGGATGCATTAACTTTAATCTTCTCTTTCATAGGTTTTCAACCAGGCAAACTACATCTTCATAGAACTTCACAGACCATGAAACTTCCTCTGCAGGTCACCACTAACCAGAGTCTGCGGTTTGATCCCCAGTTCCACAACTTGGCTCGTCCAAAAACCCCCAGATTTGCCTCTGATGGCTGTGCAGCTTAAATGATAAACTACGTAAAATAAATCCGTCTTTCATATAGTTTTTGATGGATAAACATCACAAATTATTATCTAAAACAAATGATTCGAACGATTTTTGTAGTTGAATAATTTCCCTCGTCTGAAATCAATCAAACCTTCACAACAGAGACGGCTGATCAGAAACTGCTTTATCAGAAAACATTTCAAACTTCATCTGAAGTAAAAGATTTTGATTCAGAATCACGAAACCCATCAATCAAATAATTCAACAAACAGCCGCAGCGATGCAAAACTTTTTTGTGAACACAAACAAAATAAAAATGATTATCACTGGAAGGAAACTGGGAGCAGATTGAAAAGTGAGAGCGGTGAGTGATTTCCATCATTAATCAGTAACCTCGTAATGTGGCGCAGCTGGAGCGGAGCAGAGCCTCTCAGATCTCTGGGAAATGAGCCGAATTTAAGAATCGATGCCCGAGAGGAAACAAGTTGGTGAAAAGTCAAAATAAAAACAGCCGGACCGGAAACTCGTCCAATTAGTAAGATTGAATTGTTAAGCTAATGAATGTCTGTTTCTCTGACTAAGTTTACCGAGCCAAACCAAAATCTTTTTAAACCTCATGGTTTCATGACAGTTAAGGAAAAGAAAAAAAAAGTTTGATATTTAATTTGTGGTGCGGGAGCATTTATTAATATTGAATCTGCGAGTTTGAGCTCATCTGTCCAGGTCTTAGGAAACTGTGGTGTCCAAGCAACGGGCAAAACAAGCAGGAAACAGCCCAGATGCATCTCTTCTGATGCTGTTGCTCATTACAGCTTCAATGTCTTTTGTACAGATTCATTATGGGAACAGCAAAGTCAGAGTTAAGCCTGAGCCACAGCGTCACTCAGGGCCAGATGGAAAACCTAACTGAAATGTAATGGTTTTGATTTTATATTCAGAACAAACCAGCAGATATGTTCAAAGATAAAAAGGTGTAAGATGTGAAAAGACAAGTGAAGACAAAATGTATTGGTCGCCCCCTGGTGGCCGGCTGCAGCATAGCTCAGAAACCCTGTCTCCTTCGTGTTAGTGGATTGGACATGGACCAGACTAAAAAGTCAAAATACATGTCAAATTAGAAAATCACTCAATAGAGGGCACAGAGTCCAACAGTCCCCTTAAATTCACTTGATATTTATTTGGATCTGCACCTCATAAATATCAGTCCACTAAACATGCCTGTTCGTTTTCACCCTGTCTATGAATTATTCTCTGAGAAATGTGGAAAAATATCTCGCAGTTAAAGAAAGTGAGCTGTGTTTTTTTTTTACCCATATTTCCATATCTCCTTCGGTAACCTTTGTGGTAATCTGTAGTTTTTTATGAAATCCTGCTATATATCAACAAACAGAAAAACATAACCTCCTTGACAGAGGTAAAACATTTTTCTTAAAGATTAATGAATACTGAATACTTTGTTTTTAAAAGATGCCCTCAAACAGAGACCCGATAAATGAACCTTTTTTTTACATTATCGGCACCACCAGCTGCCTCAGGCTGTGCCTTTGGTCAATCATTGGTTTTTCTGTCCCACATGTTTAAAAAAAATAGACATGTGTGAAACACAGCCTGAAACAAGGATGGTCTTCTCTGGAAAACCATTTTACAATATTCATATTTTGCGCTGCTGGAAGAAAGTAACACCTCATTTTTAACCGCAGGACACAAGCTTGTATTTTTTCTCATTACATTGGTTTCCAGTGTTGTTCATATGAACCGACCTCCCTCCTTCAATCTCGTGTTATCTGATGGCCTTTCTGTCCTTAATCTCCCTTTAATAACATCCACCAGCCCACGTCAGTCCGTCCTCCTCTCTTATCTCCATCTCCTCCTGTCTCATCTCCTGTTTCTCCTCCTCTGTAGCTCCTCTCTTGAGACCTGATGGGTCTATTACTTTCCTGGGCTCGTCTGCCCAACACCACAGAAAATATAAAACACAAGAGACTCCTTCATATTTTGCTGCGCTGAAGATATACGAGTTAATGTGCGATACATTATTTATTCCTTTCACTGAAACGCAGGAAAGAGTCGCAGCCACTGGGACTGATGTGGACGTTCAGCTGCAGGATAATCAACCCTGCTGGGATTGGAACTAAACACATTCATTGTTGTCTCAGACTTCTCAGCTCTTGATCGCTCCCAGAGCTCCGCGAGTTGCTTTGTCCGCTGCTTTTTTAACGAGCAGCCAAGCAGTAACTTTATCAGTCAAACTGAATTGCAGGACAATGAATTTAAGCCATAAACCACAGGGAAATTCACACGTTGCCTTAATTTTTCTTCCAAAGGAGCAGCGCACTTGCTTTTTAGAGCAAAAACCCAACTCAGTGGAATATATTTGGATTAGGATTTGGATGAAAAGCAGCTGTTTACATACAAATCTGTGCTGCTCTAAAAACTGCACATTCCTCATACACACTGGATCGGCTGCCCACACAGAGCCATGGCACCAATAATGATGGAGCGAAAGGAGATGGAAAGAAAAGGTCATTCCCTCAAATCCTGACAGACAGGTGAGGTCAGATAAAGAAGGTTTTTCTGTGAAAATATTGAGATGGAGATAATAAAGCATTTTCTCTCCTGCAAGAAGTAACCTGTCAAAGAAACGATCAAAGAGGTGGAATGAGCCAGAGAAGAAAGCAGTCTCTTGATTTCAGCTTGTAACAACAACAAAATGTTTGTTTGACTTGTTTTAAATGACTTCACGGAGGATCCTTTAACTAAAGGGAATAACCTCAGTGCCGAGTCACATGAGGAGACCTCAACCCGGAGGCGATTCTATCAGCTAACTGCCATCATCTTTTATTTAAGAGGCAATTTTGCATCGACTCCCATCTTTTATTCAAGCTCCGACTGATGTGTGCGGACCAGATATGGAATTACAGAATAACTAAAACACGATCACACGTCGATTGTCGAGGAGGAAAACTGGCAAGATAACAGGAGGATGAGGAAACAGTTCACCTGATAAACTGTGAGTGAATCTCACACAGGTTCAACAGATGCTGCAACATTTAAGATGTCAGCATAATCGCAGATGGCTGCCATTTACACATCTAACCAAATGTCTCGCTGCCAAATAAGCTGATCTGACCTTTCTAAATTTGACATTTCAGAACGATTTAAACTGTTTCCTCAAACTTATTTTTTATCATTTTTGCCCACAATTGCCCTTAAGATGAGGCTACTTTGCCACCGGAGAGTCTCAAAGAGAACTTCACAAAAGGTATACTTATCTGTTTCTGCAGTTCAAACCATTCGATCACACTGAGGCATCGTTATGTTGGAGCCTCAGTGGAAAACTTTAAAATGAAACTTTAAAATGATTTTAAAAATACATCATAGCAAACCAGAGTAATGTGGATGTTTGTGCTGAAGGGAAAAAAACATCTGAAGTGCAGGAATATAAACACTCCAGGTTGAAAAATGAAATTTCACTCGACTTAAAGAAGAAATGTAATGTACAGTACATGTCAGTGGCATCTTGTAGGATTTGCAAAATTAAAAAAAGAAAGTATACTCATGCTTATTGTATGGTAGATCTATGCTGAAGCAATAAAACATGGAAACAATCTTTAATTAGAGCTTAGTTTAAAATAAAGCCCATGCACACTTGACATGACATGAAAGCTGCCATTTGAAAATCCAATTCATCAAGTTGCTCAGATTTTTATTTAATAGGAGAACGTTTTTGATTCCTGAGGAAAGTATAATAAACTACGACAGCACTGAAAAGTCCTCACACAGAGGATGCGTGGGCAGAGTTTGATCTTAACAGACAGAGGTTGAGATGTAGAAATAAAAATTGGATGTTTTTTCTTCAAAGCGTTTAAATCACTCACCCTGTGCCCCCCCCCCCTGCAGAGCTGCTCACTCACATCCGCTCTCCTCGCAGCTTCACCGGGCTGCTGGGCTGCAGCTTCTCTCCAAACTCTCCACAGCCGAACCTCAGACAGTCAACAGGAACACATGGTCCGTGCACAAACTCACACACACGTGTAAGATCACAAAGAGCTCCACTGAGGCTCCGCTCCTCCGTCACATAGTTCACCTCCTCTCCCGCGGACTGAGCCCGGGTCAGTGCGTCGGGAGTCAGACAAATGAGCCGAGGAGGAGGAGCAGGATGGAAACAGCTGGAGGTGAGAGGAGGAGGAGGAGGAGGAGAGAGGAGGAGGAGGAGGAGGAGAGAGGAGGAGGAGAGAGGAGGAGGAGGAGGAGAGAGGAAGAGAGGAGGAAAGGATTTGAGAGAAGAGGAGAGGTGGAGTTTTACGCACATTTTACGCACAAAAGTCAGTTGGTGCAGAGGTTAAATACGCTGCTGCTATTGGCTGAGGTTGATGTTGGGGCGGGGCTATTATACCTATATTATTACCTTCAGGTAGCCAATAGTAGTACTCTACTATACATACTATTACCTACTATCATATTTTGAAGTGTATAAAATATATAACTTTACTATATAGCCTACAATAGTGAAATACTATGCCTTAATGTATGCAACACTATTCAGAATATAAAATACTGTTATACATTACATCACATATACTAAAGGAAAACGTTTGTCTTTCAAAAAACGCTGCAGCCAACAACAGGTTGTGACACAACTGGGAGAAAGAAGTGGTGAAAGTACAAATTGTCAATTTAAACAAGACACTGTGTGTAATTCAGTGAGCTTCAGTTGGTTTGGGTTGGGGTTGGTTTGAGACATTTTCAGGTTTTGTGGTTTATTTTGAAAACTGACCATTAGAAAAACAGATCTTTATCAATAGACCTTATCAAATAATGGCGTGAATTCTCCAAGGCCCAGCAGCGCCCTTAAATTTAATGGAGCCGCACCAAATTGCACTCGCTCATCGATATCAGGTATGCTTGAGTTTTAATTTTTCATCAAGGTCCATGAATTATTCTGTTTTCAGACACGCACTGCACGCTGGATGATCTCCTGAAACTATCTGGAGATGCTGAGGGGGTGAGGACACAAATGTCCGAGGCTCCAGAGTTTTTCTTGCAAATAAAGAGAAACATCTATTATCTGAAGGGAGACTAATATTGTGTCAATTACAATGAGGATTAAAACCCAAACAATGTTCCGGTCAGGTTATCGGAACAAGGTTAGGGTCACTCAAGGTCACTGTCAAGATCTACGGGAGCTGTAAAAATGCTAAGAGCATAAAATATAAATGTGACTGGTGGAGATGAGGGAGACGAGAGTAGTGAGGAAAAGTCGGTGTTTGATCAAAGCCGACTTGTCAAATGGGACCATTTCAAATCACCCTGAAAACAGATGGGCACTAAAATAGAACACGACATTGAACCGGGGTGAGGCTGTAGGCTGCTGTAAATTTTCCTGCTCCCAGACCTGAACGGATGTGACCTTCCACTCTTCCACGTACGAAAAGCACATCGGTGATTGATGTTAAGTTGCAGGAAGCTGTACTAACATGCTTCACTCTTGATGAGTGTGAGCGAATTTATCTCATTGGATCCTTCAAAACTCCAGACCTTCTCACCCTCTCTCTCGAAGTGTCTCTCTCCCATGTAATCAGCCCTGATTCTGTGTCCATCATCCACATTCCAGCCTTCTAATCCCCTAGACTGGAGAGCAGAAGACTGAGTGGCTGCAGGGCACAGAAGAGGGGAACTAAATTAGAGAGGGGGGAGAGAGGGAGAGAGATGAGGAATGAAAAGGGAGAAAGTGCCTCTCGAGCCGCAAACATGGAGACGAAGGCAGAGGAAGGGATGAGAGCAGCTGAGTGCAAGAACAGTTTGATGAACAACAGCGAGCAGCACAGTTAATTAAAAATTATTATTTTTTTATTTAGACAAAATAATTAGGAAACATTAAGGGAAGAAAAATCAGGACTTGAACGAGTCTCTTTGGAAAAGTGAGCAAACCAAAGTTCAACATTTCCTCGTGTAAACCTCCAGAAAACCACAAACGTCAGTTCCTCGTCCTCACATCTTTTGAGCGCGTCCATCTTTTGTCATATTGAACAAACATAAAACCAAATCACAAACTCCAGGTTAAAACTTTTCACAACACACAGACAAAAGTCAGTTCATCACACAGTTCCCCAGTCTTCATTTTCAGCTCCGAAAATGCTGCAACCTTGAATAACTGGCACCTTCCACATGAATGTAGGCTGGTCGTATAATAGTCTGCCCGCTTACACAAGTCTTATCAGAGCCGCTGGCAGTCAGCACAGGGAGACAACTCATTTCCAGACGGAGCCTGAGGTGGCAGAGCAAACGGCAGCACAGGACCAAGGTGACCACAACGAGTCTTGAATCCACGCACACTTCGGTCCTGAGGACAAAGCAGCTGACGATGTAACGTTGCAGCCGAGCGAGGTTTAACAAGCTTCAAATAAAAGTTTAACAATAAATCTAAACCTTAACCCAACTTAAACCACAACAGGCAATTTAAATTATTTCTAAGCTCGGCCAAAAGGTGAAACCTTTTGTGTAAAGTGGACAAAGACTAAGGATATTTCATGAATAGTACAAAAAAAAAATCATTATTTAACAAGACTTCTTCTAAAAAGAGCGATGAATCTGAAAAAGATAAAAGAAAAAGAAAAAAACAGTCTATGGCTCTCCCCCCGCTGCTTCTTCGTCACGATATGAAGTCTGAGTCCACACAGAGAAGTGTTCAGGGGACAACAGAGTAGGGTTGATAAGGAAGCAACTTTTGTCGTTCGTTGACGGCGTAAATCCACGTGGGTTTGACAAAGTTCAGATTGCCGTTCTCCATCAGTGCCTGTGATGAAGAGGAGGGAGATGGCAAGAAAGAAAAACATGAAGGTCATGAAGTGTTCTTGTTTTATCACTCACACGCTCACAGGAGGCGGCATCGCCATATCTGTAATTCAGACACTAACAAGGACCTCAAACGGCTAAAACTGAATTTCAACCCATACCTGGGGGGGGGGCAACACTAATTCAATTCATTGGTTTTATTTGATTATACCTTGAAAAAATAGCAAGTGCTAACAGCTTAAAGGAAAATTGCTAAGATATATCCTTGCCGGCTATTTTTGTTTTCCCCTCCGAGGGTTTCTGAGATTTTCATTTGTGCACTTGACTGAGCACTTAAAAAAAGTTTCCAGAAGTAATTACCTTCACAAAACACTCTTGTTTGTGGGAGGGAATAATAAAAGCAAACCCACGTTTACACAAATCCTCAACGTTCTTAGGCCCAAAGCTAGAAGAGCTTAGATGAACAGCTGTGGAATTACTGATGAAACAAGAGAAGCCTTAACTCACATCTTCAAAAGAGTCATGCCAGCCCTCACTGGTCACCACAAACTGCACCTTCTCGGTCATGTAGTCCTCGATCACTCTGCGGCACAGACAACAGCGCGTTATACAGACATTTAATTACACGCATTTGCATTTTCTGCCTTTGACCAATTCAAGTCCTGGCGAGTTATTTCTGGACGTCTTTCTCACCCATTAAAGGCAACGATGTATCGCAGCAGTAGGCGTCTCTCGTTGTGAGGGAATTTACCGTAAAGGAAAAAGTGCTTTCCGCTCAGGAAGTCTGGAAGAAACAATTAAAAAGGAAGAGAAAGTAGCAGAAGAGTTGAAGACTACAAAATACATATGGAGTAATTATTGGTGCTCTTTGGTAAAATAAAAAGGGGGGGAAGGAGCAAATGGTGTGTGTGGTTTCCCTGAGAGGCAAAAAGTTATCCAATTATTTTCTGTCAGAGTTTGCAAAGTGCCACGAGGAGGGGAGGTCATTTTTTCCGCTGCCATGAACAGGAACAGACAACAGAGACTGGGGGACATGAGGAAAAGAACAGAGAGACAAACCTGGTAGCTCAGGGATGGGATGATCCTCTTCAGCCTCAGCGTCTGTGTTTTCATCTGTCGACCCCCCGTATGGATCCTCCTCTTTCACCGTCTTCACATCTGCTGACGTTTTTTTCTTCTGTCTGTTCTCCTTCTCCACTCTTACACAAGGACAAAAAAAAATAAACTTGAGCCAACTTTGTCTTTTATGCTCCATGTTGCCTCTCAGAGGAACGAACCTCATTTGTCTCCTTCACATTCTGTCTTGTCTGAAAAAAAACCCCCAGCTCTACTTCTGTAGTGACATGATACAGCAGTTAAAAACTTATTGCATGATTATTATCTGATGATTAATCAAAAGTTGAAGTTGTGGAATTACAGATGTTAAAAGGAATCTATGGATCACTTTACTACTGGTGCATTGTGGGAGCAGATATGGAGTCGATGACCATACGGGACACAGAAGAACAAACCTGTCCACATCAATATCACAAAGAGCATTATTGACATTATTTGTTGTGTTTACCTCTGCAGCTCGTCCTCCGTGTCCACGGCAGATTCGTCATCATCATCTCCTGTGAAACCAAAGTGTTAATACAGAAGATCTCTAACCGGAAAACTGACAGGTCATTTATTACAATAATCCAAAAGGCCAAGCTGAAAATTAAATAGAAGTTTCCTAAGCGTGGAAAGTTTCATGCATCTAAGATCAAATCTCCGGATTGTGTTCAGCTTTTCAGACAAAAACAGATGGACAGGGTAATAATCATCTTATTTTTCTGAGGAAAATATCAATTCACTGAAATCACAGGGTTGTTTCCAAGTTGAAATCTTTTCCTACATCATGTTATTATCAGTGCACTCACACACTAATTGAATCCAACAATCAAATGTCAAACAGCGCTGCTCATATGATGAAAACAGTTTGATCTTGACATAGTGTTCTCTATAAGATACTATTCATTTTCATCTTGCAGAGGAAGCAGAGATAATTCAGGTAAACCAGAATTTCTTTTCGTCAGCAGTTCAGTTTATGTCACCTTGTTGTTAAGACTTTCCATTACCACACAACCCTGCGTTGTTGCGGGGGAAACAGGAAGAAGCTCTAATTAAAATGTCGTCTCCTCATATGTGCTCGGTGGGTCATTGTTTATGTGTCCTCAGTGATGCAAGCCGGCACTTTACTTCTGGACTCAAATTAACATAGAAATGAGAATCATGCACAAGTCCCTTCACAGTGATTACATCGTTCCTCTGTTCTTCCCACAAACTCCATCTACAGAATGTTGTTCATGTTCTTTACACGGTCGAATTATCAACCGATCCGTTTCCAAGTGCTTCATAAAGCTGATCCCATTTGTCTCTTTCCCGGGGTTTCACATTGTCCCCTTGCTCTTCTCATTTCATTCAGTCCTCCTCAGCTCCACTGCTACCTTCACCCCCTCGCTAGATATATGAGACGAAAGACTTCCCATGAGTCTCTGCCACATATCTTTTAGTTTTTTGATCTTACAAATATATATACAAACACAAACACACACACACACCCCCACACACGCACGCACACGCACGCACACACATATATATATATTACTGGATTACTTATGGTTTAATTGTTTTCTGCTTTGTCACAGTAAACAGTGTTTTCCTGTCTCCCCCAATTTACTCTCATTGAAATTAATTTGTAGTGGGTGACCCTGCAGCAGCGGAGTGATTAAGTTTTTCCATTTTAGTATGCAAATTGATTTGAAGAGAGAGAAGCAAAAACAAAACACGAATTAATACAAATAATTTGTAGAATTTATGATATTTTAGGGGCATCTGGTGATTATGGTTTTATTCTCAGCAGGGGGCCACTTTCAATTAAAGGCAAAGTGCGAAAAAAAAAATACAAGAAACAGATAATTCAGGAAATATGAGGTTAAAACTTTCTGTTAAAGCATGTTAGTGTGCTAATATCTGTGTGAGGGGATCATTAAAATATTTATTATGTGGAGACAAATATGTCTGCATCTAATTTCACAGCAATCCACAGGGGAGTTGATGAGTCATGTCACCCACCAAACCAAGACTGACTGGCAGGAGAGCACATTTCGGCACAAATCTGAGAGAACTCCATTCAATGTTAGAGACATTTGAGAGGTGGACTGATCATATCTTTTCTAGACAGCTTTTACTATGTGTGTTTGAACTGCAGCTCAACACTGATAAAGATCAGTGATAAAGACTGTGTACTAATACTCTGAGGAAATACTTTGGAAATGTAAACAGCATTTATAATTTTGTACCAAATTTCGGTGCGATCCATTATAATTCCGTTTCCACCTCTTTCTATCCGGTCTTTTTCGAAACTGGACTTTATATGTGTTTAATGTACCTTTGGCTGTTATTTGTCTAACAGAATGTTTTTAAGAATTTACAGTTCAGAACCCAGGGAGCGAGGAAAAATGTGTTAAGTTTGTTTCCTTCCACTATATCAGAACTAAGTGCTTCTTTCTACCTTGGCTTTCATTCTTCTATTTCCCTTATTCACCGGTTCAGCCCACTTCTATCCTTATTATGTCACCCTGCCTTCCTGCCTCAGGTCAACAGCTACAAGTCAATGAATACACACAATCTAAAAAACTCTTTAAGAGCAATAATGTGCTTTCTCTTTTATGTCAACAAGTTTCTGTAGTGGAAAGTAAGAAAGTAAAATAAGTGTTGACCGAATCTTAGACGACATGTCAGGTAGAGTTCAGGTGCTTTCTTTAACCATAAGTAGTTTGATGCAAACCTGGTTCGTCCATGTCAGTGGAGCCACCATATTCATCATCGTCTTCACTCCTCTGTCCTGGTGTTTTTTTGGGGGTGACTTGTCTCTCCTGCTTCTGTGGTGTCTGCAATAACAGCAGGGACAGGATATTACTACTGATAGTTACGAACGAGAAAGATGATTTTTCATTTATCAATTATTGTTTGTGGACGCACACAAAAAAAACAAATGGTACCTTTGCATCCATTTCCTCTTCACTCTGGTTGTCTACTTCCATTTCACTCTCCGAGCTCGACTCGGCACCATCCATCAAATACCTGAAGCAACGGAAGAAAAAAACGGATGAATAAAATGCGTCGGGATGATTAAAGACTGGGGAGAAAATGATGCCTGCACAATATATCTTGTTGCCAACCAGCCTCACTCACACGTTTTGAACTGCAGTGGCCCTTTTAGCAGGCAGTAGTGGAACATGAGCTAATTTAACAAGGAAGACATGATGAAGATATAATTTCACACCATTGAGTCCCGATCATCCTGAAATGTCTTTAAAACATTAAAACAGCCTGTATATTAAATACGTTAGATGTTTGCATGTTCTTGAGCTTCAGCTTATTTTCTGCATGGGGAGAAAAAAAATTACAAACTTCTCCATCAACCAAACTCCACAACACCCTGGTCTAAAATAAACCTTCGCCTCATGCGCAAAGTTCATTCTTACAGAGCAGCACCAGTTTGTTTATGCTGAGTTATCTCTGTCTACTGAGAATAGTACAAACTTTATGGACGCTTTAGCCCCAGCTACCTTTGGTAGTGAAGGTCATGGCATTTTAAGCCCAGTGATTGGGTATTCCCTATTGAAATGTACCTTGTGAGTGATATTTAACTTGACCTCTGAAGTTTTACTTACACAGGATTTTACCTTAACTTGCAGAGAACCAGAGATTTTCTGATGCTGATGATCTATGGGGGGAAACTTTCACCTTGCTTCTGGACAAAATGGTACGTAAAACATCTCCTCCCACTTTTTAGCTCTGTAAGTATGTATACTTTCTTAATCTATAAAACATTCAGACATATGATACACCTGAGTGCACAGTCCTAGGTTTCTATTTTCATGATGAAAAAGTGACAGATAATCAAAATAATGAGCCAGATTCTTCTCATTATAGTTCGTTACATTCCTTCGACACTGAAAAATAATCACTTGATCTTTAGCCCAGAGCTGAACATGTGATATATAATTAAATCTTTTCAAATCATGTGGAAAAATAAAACATAAACAAGACTGCAACCAAAGTCTTATAGACATATAATTAAATATGACTTCCAGAGAATGTTAAACAGACATCGTGCCTTTAGTGCTTTACATCACAGATCACATTCACCCATTGACACATTAATACAGCGATTCTATAGTGCTTCTCTATCCATCACTATCTGGGGTTCAGTGTCTTCCACATGTGGACTGGAGGAGCCGGGGATCGAATCACTGACCCCTATGGTTAGCAAACGACCATGCCCCACCTCCACAGCCACTCAGATGCATAAAATATGTAGTGTCAGACAACAGATCATGTTCTCAGCAAAGGTTAAGGGAGTGTGGCGGGGAAATAAAAAGACAGATTTTACAATAACCTCAAAAGTGAAGACATTATTTTGTATAATGATGCAGAAAATGGGTAGGACATGACGAAAAACAGGAAAGGGCAAAGAGAAACTCTTTCTGCTGCTTTCAAACACAAAAGCAAAAAGAGATGATAAAATTAATCCTTATTTCACCTCAAGCCACAATGAATTCACCTGGCACCTGAACATTATCAGCAGAGGAGCAAAGTGCATCAGCGCCCAGTAGTTATCATTTCCACTCACACTATTTTCTTTTTACAGTGGATTTACATACTGGTTCTTATTTAATAATTACATCTAAAAAAAAACATAAAAAGCTGAAACTACTCAGTGATAACGACAAAATTATTGCACTTTTGTCAAGGAGGATGAGAATTAATATTTTCCGATTTTATGTGTTGGGTTTTTGTATGTGATTAAATTGTATGAGCCACAGATTAATCACGATGTGATTGTGCTGATATGTTGGCACCAACATGCCGACTATTTTCCACGTCCTCCTGGGATGTTGCAACAGGGCCTCAGCTTTAATGAGAAATTTATTTACTTATTCAGTTCCATTGTGATGGGATGTTGTAGAGCCACTTGAACGTTTTTTGCTTTCCCCTCTTTTGGTTCCATCTCTGGATTCTCACTGATTGGATGATGTCCATGGAGAAAGCATTTATGCTCTGCTTAGGTGACT